AATAAATAAAAATAGAAGAAAAAAATATTGCAGTTTTTGGCATGCCATAAACAAGTGCAAGATTTTTAAGTACTTTTTCTTGACTGAGGAACATTTCGCTTTTGATTTCTTGCTCCAATTGCAGTTGGCAACATTTTCCACTCGCTTTTTGTATATATTTCCAGCTTCTAGCTTTTGAAAACTCGGTGGCAAAGCAACCAGTGTTTCCTATGAGATAAGCAGCTTGGGGGTAGAGGCTGGGGCTGTGGAGGCTGTGCAGCTGCTGGGCGTGGGGGCGCAAGGACACACGACTCTGGCTTTTGCGAGCTTGGCCAGGCGGCACGTACGAGAGCCAGATGATAATTTTGTTGAATATAGCAAAGCAGCAAAGCAGCATATAGCTGAAACAGCCAGACGTATCCAGAGAAGAGGCGGCAGGCTACATAGAGCAATGGGGAGTGTTAAGCGTTGAGCTGCTATGCAAAACAGATTAAAGCTTCGACTTGTGCAAGCCCCAAGAACTGAATGCATTAGCCGTAAGCTGCGATTCTCAATGTATCGTACTTGGCTTCCATTTATACATGCTTTCCATTATATATATCTAGATAAATTCATAGTTGAATTCTGCTGTTTCAAGTGTTTTCCATTGATATGAATTTGTTTATCTATGATCTTATGGAGCTCTGTGCAGTATAAGCGAATACTATAATAGCTTGTTATCTCAAAGTAGTTTTTCACAAAAGAATTTATTTGGCTTGCCAATTAACTGGCCGAAAGTCAATTGGCGAAGTGAATGGATTGGTGTGTATTAAGCGGAAGTAGTGCGCGAGTTGTGTTGTGTCTGGGAGGAGCTGAATATTCGCTGTTTGTTTTCTCTTTTGTGAATGCTGAGCATGGCCATAAGTAGGCGCTTTAATGGGCCTGGTCAATGCCAAAGCACAGCCCAAGCCAAAGCCAAAGGCCAGCGCGTATTTCTTTCAAAGTCGTCATCGCGTGGGTGGGTTTGTGCTTCGAGCTTGTGGCGCGTGCCAAGCCCACAAGACCCGGCCATATGTGTGGCCTTTGCATTGCCCAACTGTCTCAGCAGCAGTGAAAAACAGAAAGTAGTTGAAAAAAAAGAGGCTGAAATCTAAGTAAATTCCTTGAATTCAGTTAAAAAAAAAAAACAGAGAATAGAAGAAGGCCACAGCGTGCCAACATTTGGAAAAGTTCAAGTTAAGTGCAGCACAAGCAGCAGCAGCAACAGCAACAACAACGTTTATGAATATATACTCAGCTATCAAGTTTTGTTGTTATAAACAAAAGTCGAGTAAAAAACGAAGTCTCCCATAGGAAACGCTCTCCTTAAAAGCCTTGCGCGCGCATTTCATAGAGGCAGACACAGAGAGAGAGAGCGCGTGAGACTGAGAAAGAGATAGAGATATATAACGCTTATAGGCAACAGAGATAGAGACAGAGATGGAGAGAGAGAGAGAGCACGCAGTGACTCTTCCCACAGGAGCTGAGACGCAGCTGCTCAGGCATCTGGAATTAGTATACAAAACGCAAGCAAGCGAGACACGTGCCACAGGCAGCAGCCGTAGTACCAGGTGAAGCAGCATCATCAAAAAGCGCGCAACTGTTGTTGAAAGTGAAAATTGTACGCGCTGCCTTTAAGAATTCGTTAACCGGCCAATGCGGCGAATGCGTAATTTCGTATTACCATTTTATTCGCCCCGCATGTGTACGAAATGCCTGTGCGAGGGAGCTACTTGACTACCTGAATACATTCCGATTACTGAGGTTGATGAAATTGCTCAAAGAGCAATACACGCCTAATTATCGAGTACCGCTCTTATACCCAGGTTTAAGACTCTGACCATCTGATTATGATTGGATAAATAAGCATCACAATAAGTTTTCGACTGGCTTTCCCTTTTTCTTTCAACCCATATTCTGATTATTTATTAAATTGTGTTTCATTACACTTTGCCCCAAAGGCGAAAAAGCTATATTGGTTCAGTGCATTTTCCGTCTTGCAGTATGTCCCTTAGTGAAAACCCTTTCTATACTTGATGCTATAGATTTGAAATTTGGCAAATACATATCGTGAATTATCGTGCATTTTCATTTTCAATTTGGATACCCTATAGTTTTAGAGCTACAAAGTAAAATCGGTTAGTTGAGTTACAGAGAACCTCCGATCGATAGTACGAAATGCCCAGTAATTTTCATATATTTGAATCTAGAATTACAAATTTACGTTGCCATAACGTCATATGTCTACGGCCACGCCCCCAGTAGGATGGGAGCAATATTTTTAACGCCCAATTGAATAATTCATATTACATTTTCTCATTTTCAATGCGTTTAGGGTATAAAAATCAAATTTGGGAAGAGAGTATCACGCTTCAGTTTAATGTATTTTCCAACACAAAGCTCAAGTTGCCTTGGAATACTTTCAATGTATTATCGGGATTACAATCCAGATTTGAAGGTTTCATTTGTTTATGGCCCAACTCGTGGCACTTTGCCTCCAATCCGCCTAAGCATTTCCTCCTCTGCAGATAGTTCTCTGTGGGCTGTCAAGAAGGCTATCCTTTGTGTGTCCATTCTGAATGTAATGTTGTATTACTTTTGTGCCGTAAAATTGAGATGTCGTGCGTATTTCTAGGATATTTCACGTTTATGCAAATTATGCGCTTTGCAAGACCAAACTACGGCAAGTCAAACTCGAATTAAAAATCTAAAAGCAAACCTAAAACTTTGGCCAGCTACTTAACCAACGATGTCTTTGATAACAATCCGAAAAGTTACCCGAAAAATATAATGAACAAACTGAAATAAAAACGCACTAGCTGCAAACGGAAAACTGTGCGAAGTGCTATCAAATAAATTTTTCAGCTGACACACAAGAGCTGTGGCACCAAAAAGTCAGCAAAAAAAAAAAAAAAAAAAAAAAAAAATGTGCATTAAAAATTGCGCCAACATACACTACGGGGGCAGCAGCAACAACAGCAACGACAACAACAACAACAGTAGCGAGGATAAAGTGCCAGAGGAGAACTTCATTCAGTTGGATTTTGAATTGCGATTGCCACGCAGAGGCACCAAAGGTCCTAAAATATCGAGCTTTAAAATTTTCATGTGCTGTTGCTATTTTATCATTATTGTCTTGATGATCTAAGAACACACAAAAAAAAAAATCGAATCGACAATGGTTGACCGAAAACAAAAATCCAATTGGAACCAAACGTTAAACATTCGCAAATAAGCTACACGAAAGCAGGTAAATTATTGTAGCCTACTTTAAGGAGCTTTGCCGAAAATATTCGTATTACACCTTGAACTCGTTGAAAATGGGAATTCAAAATTTAATCAGGCTTTTGGTATAAAGACATCGATATAGGAAGCTTTAATAATCATATCGAAATATATGTATGTATGTTTCTGTGTGCTGTACGTATGGATTATACATGATACCCGTCCATATTATTAATACTGTCATCAGTAGCAACTGTGAAGCAATACACCATTTAATAAAACTTGCATAACAGAGACTGGAGAGTCTCAGGTTTGTTTACATACAATTTTAAGTAAATATAATTGATCACTTGAGTACCTAATGTCCGAGGCGTTTACTTAATTATTAATAGTTTCAAATATCCACAATCGTCAAAGTCAGTAGAGAGCCGATGATCCAATTAAAAAGCTTGTCAGCAATTCTTATGTGTCTGTGTGTCGAGGTCTACATTGATGTGTGTGTAAATCAATCTGATTGGCTTTACCCAACAATTAACTCAGAGAGGTTAGAACTCATTCATTTATTAAACAAAATTCATGCGTGACGAGGTTATAAATAGAGTACAGGGCTTTATAAATATAAGGCAAGCCATACGAGTACTCACACGTAATTGAATGTAGTAAATACGTAGTGTTTATTGAACTCTTTTCTTCCTCTATTTCGGGCCCTCTAATGGTTTCTATAGAGGATTGTCTGCACATATGCCCACTAAGATACGCATTAGAGTATGGTATAAATGATTACTTTGTGTTTTAAATTTTATATTTTCATGAATTAAAGCCATAATTATATTCATGTAAATATTTTTTTATTGACCTGGAACTGTATTTTGCGTTCATCGAATGCCGCACTTTGCTTTATTGAAATTAGTGTTAAATTGATTTATGCCACACACGCATAAAGTAACATATTCTCACACACACATACATGTATGTACACTTATTACGTATACTTACCGTAGCTGACTTTGTTTGTTTGCTTGCTGATTACTCATACGACGCGTGGCATAGTTTCATGAAAATTGATTTTACACTGTGACAAACAAAGTACAAAGCACAAAGAGCTCGCACCCCACCCACCCACACGCATACATAACACCTTTTCATGTATATGTGGTCATTTATTGTTGTTTCCACTTTTCAATTCACATCGCTGACCCACATGCCTGCTGGTTGTAGTTGTGCTCCTGTGCTGGAGGAATTTTCATTTTTTGGCTGGCATTTGGTAGAAATTATGACACTCGGCCATAAATATGGCCTGCACGGCGAGGAAATTCATTAATCAAAATGGCATATATAACAAGCATACGCATTTTTTGTAAATTTCATTTAATTAATATATGGCTGCGAAAGCTGGAAAAGTTTTTTATAACCTTCAGAGAAATCTCATGTATGTATGTATATGGTTCAGGCAGATATATTTACCACTGCAAATATTTTAAATGTTTTAAATGTAAATTTCAGTCATTCTCTTTTGAAGCACTCTTTAATTATGGAACAAGGCTAAAGTGAATTTAGTTCATCAGAAAGGAAATATAGTATACTTCGTCAGGTACAGTGAAATCAATTACGCACAAACCAATTTTTGGGAGAAAGTTTCCATTGGAAAACGAGAAAATTTGCTGCTACGTTTTATGTGGGCCATAAATGCAATGTGCTCATAGCTCACATATTCACATATGGGAGGTTGTATGAGGGTAGCTGGTGGGTGGTGTACGATGGTCCGTTGCGAACAGCTCTCGTAAATGCAGAAATGTTCGTCCATTGATATCAACGCATATATTTATTTTTATAATATCATGTTTTATGGCCACCGTAAATATGCATTTCTCTCTACTTTTCCCTTAAGGTTATGTTTGAGTTTCGACCCGTATATCCTTCTGCACATGTCTAATCTACATGAAATATTTATTGCACCCCTTATATGGCTCACACATGGCTAAAACTTAAATTAATTCAATGTCAATCCATTTAATCTGCGGAAAAGCCACGTACAGACTAAAGTGCCAAGCAGACCATAGCCTAGTTCAAACTCTAGCTAAAAGCTAAAAGAAAAAGCTAACCATATACATATATCACATCATGTTGTACATTACTATAATATTTTTAATATTTACCAACTTACTATATAAGATACTTATTATTAAATGCATAAGTTAATAAGAATTCGCATCTCCACCTCCGCCTTTACCTCTACCTCTACCTCTACCTCTACCTCTACCTCTACCTCTACCTCTAC